CAACCTTACGTGCTCGCTCGCGAATTAATATCGTGGTCGTTATTATTATTTTATTGGTACAAGCGAATTATGAAGTTATTATAAAGACCCTGGATGCTTTTAATTATATTGGAAAATTTTATGGGATTAAATTTATTCAATTCTACTTTTCAGTGAGAATAACGTTTTCCAATGTAATGCTAAATACAGGGACATTATACAAGTAGATATATAATGTATATGCATTAATTACATTAATTTTAGTAGGAAATAAAAATTTTTCATACTTTCATTTAATGTTGATATTACTTTTTATATCATTAGCTTCAGTTAATGGTATTAAACAGAATTTTGAGTTAACAATTGTTGTCGATCGAATAGAATTTTTTTAAAACTCGTTATTAATTTCATAATACGAAGCTGCGTTTTGCTGCTCGTGCACTTCATTTCGAAAGGTCCCCTAACGTTGTTTCGCGAATATCCGTCGATTCAATAATATATGATTTACCTCGCACTGTTTAATTTGTTCATTAATTTTGAATGCACTGCAAGTTTCAAGTGCACTGCGTTTAACTAAACGACTCAAAAGTCCAATATCCAATAACCATTATCGAAATTTCTCGCGGGCAATTTGGTCGATCGACTAGTTTTTTTCCCCAGCGCATTAATAACATTGGCAATCGATTTGATGCACATGCAACAAGATTCAGGTATGGCTTACGAGTGGAAGATGCTGGCGTGCAAGTATACATATACAAATCTTACAACCTTTTATATTTTCCAGATACAGCATACTCGGAAATTGCGCGCATTTTTTTTATCACAGAGGGAGACAAAACTTTTCAGTAAATAGTAAAAAGGTCGACGTCGAAGATAACCGCTGATAACGACCGTCATAAAAATTGTTACTGTATCTCCGTCATCTCGATATTAACTCAGTTCGTATCTATCAAAGTTATCTACAGTCTCGTCGGATACTGGATAATCCTCAGGAGATTCGAAGAAGTTTCACTAAATTGCATGATATACCTCAGAAAGGGGATAAAAAACTGTAAGACTATATTTAATCGAAGGATCGATAACACTGCAATCACGATAGTAAAGCCGATAGCTACCGGTCCTTAATAACAAGGGAATCGAACGGACACGTGCCAATCGAACGATACAAAGTAAAAGCGGGATGCTGTAAAATAGTCATCGAGCTTGTAAAACATATTCAAACGTAAAATAGCATATAGTTTAATTCGATGCTTTATTTTATACGTTCGTAGCTCTGAGGTAGATTCTCAATTAGAGAATACAAATAACGAGTGACGTGGAAGAACTTTTAAATAGAATCATATCCACATTACGTATAGATAACAAAGCCAATAGGTAACTGACTGCTGGAAAAATGGGTACACACCAAAAGCAATTTGAACGAGCATTAACGTCAACGAGGATATCCGAGCGTAGCGATGCTGGTAACACTAGAAAATATCGCGTATACCACTCTACTAAAATCCCCACGTGTATACACGCGCACGAGGAACTTATACAGCCAGGAGCTAATCCGTTGCTCAGATTTATTTTACAGCATCACCCTTGCGCCAGGTGAATGGTTGAATACCTCCGCTATAGCCTGGGGGTATGCCTTTGGGATTTTGGCTGTGCCCGTACAGCTATGCAATCGATCCATCAATTTATTTGATCCGATTACGCAGCTACCTCGTTCCCCGTCATACCGACGTCCTGGGAGCGTCGCGAGGCCGTGGAGACGCCCGCTCGGACGAAAATTTATCTAGTTAAGAAAAAGTCGCCGAATTAACTCGTACGAGCTACGTGACTACGTTTATACGAGGGATGAGTTTTGGTAGGAGTGAAGGGTGATTGGGGGGAGAGGGGGGAGAGGAGGGGGAG